GTGATCAGAACCTGCAAGAGACAGCTCCTCAGCCGGGAGAGTGCACTGATCACGGCGGACTAGAGAACCTCTCCACACGGAGTGCCTGAAGGCTTAACCTCTGGAAGGTACTCCAAGAGACTTTGGGACTCTTAACTGCTAGAGGACCGGGTTTCCCTTTGAGTGTTTGTATTGATGTGTGTTTGTTGTGCTTTGACCTAGTAAACGCATATTGCAATCAGTCGTGTGTGAGAATCTCTTCTGTCCGTTGCGCCTGTCCTAAGCTCTCCCGAGAAGCAGTGACACATTTTGGATGTCACGCTCAAGCCAGTGGCTTGAGACACATTCAAGACAGTTACTATCAAGTGACTGCTCCCATTCAGGACATAGAAAAAAATTGAGATCGTGGTAAATCATTAATTTTCAGGATGATGATGGCTAGATGAGGCAACTAAGTAATGGAAGGCACTGAGGCCCGGGGTTCTGATGGGCTAGCAGCATCCAATCCCTGCTCTGGGCCCGCCCGCACAGCCTGCTGGGAGACAAAGTCTGGCATCTCAGAGGCAAAGAAGAGGCTGGACTCAGCATGTCTCCTGCATACTCTGAAGAGAGGCAGGAGTCTACCGAGAGACCAGAGTTAAAGCAGTACTGTACATCCCAGTTGACTTGGTATTGGTCCTGAACATGTATTTCGCATTCATTATAGCTACAACAGCGGGAGCCATAGCCACGTTTGCTGCTGCTGCTGCTGTGACGGCACTGTTCATAGTAAAACTCCTAAGTTCTTTAAAAAAGGAAACAACTACGAACCATGAGAGAACTCAAAATTGGGATATTCCCACGACCACTTTCAGAATGGAACAGGAAACACACAAAGAATTGGACAGGATGGAACAGGGGATGCACAAAGAACTGGACAAGAAGGATCAGCAGATCCCTGAAAACCTTGACCCTCAGGAACAGGGAATGGAGAAAGGGGTGGATGAGAAAGAACAGGGGTCGCACGGGGATGTGGATGAAAAAGAACAGGGCAGCCAAACTTCGTAAGTAGAGAGTTGACTCGGCAGGCCCAGGCGGCATTGCCCAGTGCGTGCTCCTTTCCTGAGGCCCGTGGGCACAGATGCAGGCCGGGTTCAGGCCTGGCTGGGTCTGTCAGACCTAAGGTCATGCTCCTAAAATGCCAGTTTTCCGAGGAAGGATTCTCTGAAAGCGAACGCGTCTTTGGTGTGTCACTGACCGCTGACAGGTCTGACAAGATGCAACTGGCTGAGGCCGGGCAGGGCGGGGTGCGGCCGGCCCGGCCGGGCCCCGCACAATAGGCGCCGCCTCACAGACCAGGGGGCTGGCGCACCTCAGCGCCAGCGCGGCGGCCACACAGGGGCCCCTCGGGGCAGCAAGGCCGGAGGGTGAGCGCCTAGGCTGCGGCCCCTCAGGCGGGGGGAGGAGTCGGCCCCTCGTACATAGGGATTGGGCGGCCGCCTAGGCTAGCCTTGGCCAGCTGAGGCGGCGCGACTGTTGCCAAGCGACTGCACTGGCCGGGCAAACAGGCCGGTCACCGTGCCCCGCAGGACCCCGCTACGTGGCCTTCCGAGCCGCAGAGCTGCACTCTGCCTGCATCACGGCCTCCGCCTCCTCCACTTTCCAGACCTTTTTCGAACCTGTAGCTCTCTGCGAGCCGTTGTCCGAGTACTGACGGGAGCAACCGAAGGCGAAGCCCGACAGTCTCCGCTGAGCTCCGGCTCGCACCTCCCCGGGCGGAGCGCGCAGGCGCAGACCGCAGTAACTGCCGGTTGGCGGCGGCGAACCGCAGTGGAGAGACCAGGCGGCGGGACGGGCGGAGGCTGCGCAGGCGGCTTACCTCCGCAGTTCCAACGCCCTGCCTAGATTTCCAGACGGGAGACTCGGTGACCCTCTCTCCTTTGCTTCTCGCAGGAGTCGCAGTCCCCGCACTAACGGCCCGAAGGAGGACGCGGTTCCCGCAGCCCGACCGGTAGGCGGGATGTCGGTGGTGGGCATTGACCTCGGCTTCCTCAACTGCTACATCGCGGTGGCGAGGAGCGGCGGCATCGAGACCATCGCCAACGAATACAGCGACAGGTGCACCCCGTAAGTGCCGCACGCCTCCCCTTTCCCTTAGGTCGGGTCTGCCCACCCTGGATACCCCCGCCCCTCCGGATCCTTGGCGGCGGCAGGTGCAATCCAGCCGGAGACTTCCAGCGCCATCTCCGCGGAGGACCAGACTTCAGAGTTGGCGCATCTCTCCTTTCTGTGCCGCAGACGCCTCTTCCCCCGCCACGCGCTGCCGGTAGAGTCCCTGCTTTAGGTTGCAGGAAGGGGTTGCTGTGGGGCCACCTCGGCCTCCAGAACGTGGGAGAAAGGTGTCGGATTGCCTGCATGGAGTGGCCTGAGATTATCTGCGCTAGGCAGCTGACTAGAGGTCTGCACTCTGCACTCCCCCATTCCATCTCTGAACGACAGATTTCTCAGAAAAGCAGAGGCTGCTTGGATTGCACACATCAAAAAAAAAAAAAAAAGAATAACAGTTTTATCTAACCCGAGAGGTCCTTATTTGTTTTTAAAAGGAGAGTTGAGGTGCTGTCCTTGAGAATTTAAGATGATCTGACTGGTTTCTGGGGGATTAGTTTAATGGTGCATTCCCTCAGACTGGGGAATGGGAATCCTTAGTCCAGTGCATTGGTAAGATACATGAATTAGTGGAAACTGGTGGGATTAGATCCTACTATCCAAAGCGTATTTCTACAGAGTGAATTGTTGGCAAGTCAGAGGTAACTATCCTGTATAAACGGGATTGTGGAGTGTTTCTATTATGAACTCTTGATGAAAGACTTAGTAGCATTATGTCATGGAAACATGTTTCCACATGTTCACTTGTTTCTCATTTCTGGAAACTTTGTTGGCAAAGAACACAAATAATACTATCATGTGAAAAAACTCTTACAGGCCCATTTTACCTGTAATTTTATGAGGAAAATTGTGTCCATGTATTTTATAGAAGAATAGTTTATTTGACATTTGTGAATGATCCATACTACATTTTAAAGTCAAGCTAATGTTATCCAAGATCAGTGTTAGATCAGCTTTAAATACCAAGGTTACTGCAGTTCTAGCAGTATAAAAATAATACAGTATTGAGTAGCTTACTTGAGTGCAGACTGACTTCATTCTAAATGTAGTCTAGAATATTTTAGACCTTTTTTCTATATTTACCCATTGCATTTCTTCTATCAAAATTTTAGGTGTTTATATGCTCAAATATGGGCATGGATCAGGTCATCCTCATAATGCTGTAGGAACACATTTCTTTATAAATATTTTTCTGGCTGAAGTAATCATTGTTATTTATGAATTCATCTCTACAAAATTTTGTTTTAAGCCAGAGTAGATACAGCTTTCCACCAGAAAAGAACAAGGAAATTCCTCTCTCTTTCAACAAGGTGGAGAGGTCTTTGACTTCATGAGTCATGTACAGCTCTGTAAATCCAGACTTATAAAGAGAGCTTCTAGGACTGGAGATTAGGCTTGGTGGGTAAAATGCTTGTGGTGCAAGTATTAGGACCTGAGTTTGGATCTCTAGCACCCTTGTGGAATAGACAGGCATTAGTGGACCTGTCTTTAAGGCTAGTACTGGAGCAGAGGCAGGCAAGTAACCTTGAGGCTCACTGGCTATCCAGTTTTGCTGAAATTGTCAGCTTCGGGTTCAGTGAGAGACTCTGTCTCCCAAAATGTGGTGGAGAATGATAAAGGAATACATTCCAGTGTCAAACTCTGGGCTGCACACATGCCCCCCCCACAAATTAGTAAGAGACATTTAGAAGCCTTCATTGCTATTGGATTATTATTCTTTGTGGTTGAGATCTAATATAATATTTCTGAGTCAAATGTAAGAAAGCTAACACTAATACATAGATTTCATGATCTCAATTCAAGCCAGAAGTTTCTAAGGATCATATATCTTGCATCAGCAACTGTGTTGTTTCTCTCTGGCTTGACCCTGTTATTTGTGTCAAAAGCATATGTTGTTGTTACTGAACAAAAATAACTTCATGGTAGTCCAGTGCTATTATACTGTGTATTTGCTTAGTGGTGATTAAATTATTGAGAGAAAATGTAGTGCTTCCTGATCCCAGGACATTTACTCATTATTATTAAATATACCAATATTAAATATAACAGAGCAAAAAGCTTTTTCTGTAACAAAATGTTACAGAACATTTAACCTAGACAATATAAGTACATGGAAAAAAATGAAATTAAAAATTATTATATTCATAAATAAAACTTCCAGGTAGTTTTCTCTGAGGTTTTTTTTTTTTTAATAGAAAAGGGATGATATATTTGATGCTCTGTTCAGTAACCTCTTTCTGTGTAAAACATCTCTGTATCATTAGTTTGGTTCAATGTGTAATTCATAAGTTCCATCCCTGAACCACATTCAGGTTGCTTATATTTTAGTTTTGCAAATAGTTTTGCAGTGACTATCTTTTGTTATAACTCTGTGGTGGTTGGTTAGAATTCACATTGGATAACTGATATAATTCTGAATTCTAAGTAATTTCACTTTTTGAACATTTGAACATTTGACCCATTACTTTTTAGCACCAAAAGACTTGGTAAATACCTGCTGCTAATCTGACAGCTCTGTTCACTGGCCTTGGCTATATTTAAGGGTAGCCCTTTGTTTCTTCTGTCATTCTCTCAGAGCTGGCTTTCTGCCCTCCTTTCTGGGCAGTCTGAGATACTGGTGATGGCAAGAGTGGTATGCACAGCTAGAGAAAAAATTTCAGTGTGAGAGACTAGGTGAATACTTAGCACTTCTACACCCTGATCCTGATGTAACTCCAGGAAATAAACACCTGTGTAGTGGACTGCACCTCTTGTCACTCTGCAGCCACAAGGCATTGCAGCTCTGTTGAGACCACCCAACTCTGCCTCTGACAAGATCAAGTGCATTAGAAACAACGTGTGTACAGGCAGGGCAGTGTGGTGTTTATTTCAGTTCCAATACGTATCTTTTAAACTACATTTTGCATTCTTAGTTAATTCACCTAAATTCATAGAACTACAATTACTGAGTGTATACATTTTTAAATATATTATTTTTATTTTATGCGTGTGAGTGTACTGCTTCCATGTATGTGTGTGCACCCGTGTCATGCAATGCTGCAGAGGTCAGAAGAGGGCTTCCGATTCCTGTGGAACTGAAGTTAAGGATGGTTCGTAGCTGCCATGTGGGTGCTGGGAATCTAACCTGGGTCCTCTACAAGAGAAGTCAGTGCTCTTAACTGCTGAGCCATCTCTCCAGCCCCATGAGTGTATACGTTTTTAAGGCCTTATATAAGTTTGTGTCATTCATTTAAGTACAGTTCTATAAGAATTAGAATTTCCATCCTAGACTTAATAACATCAAAGTGATTGGTTTCACTTATGGGGAATAAAACTAAGATTGGAATCCTTATTCAGTGTCAGTTCAGGCATCTGGTCAGCTATACCTATGCTGCTAATAGTGACTAGTATGTGTCAAGCAGTGTTTGACATAATCACATTTCTTTGAGTTCAGTAATGCTGTCTTTTATTCCCTAAAGTGTAAAGTAACAATAATTGTAATATACAGGAGAGATTAATAGGAATGTACCAACTAAAGGGAAAAATTATCTACCTGAGCAATTATTACACAGAGAAGCATTTTGTTTTACCATTAATAGAGGTTATTTTTTTACTAGTTTCTAAGTATTTTTAACAATCCTGTGGGGGGGGGTGTTCAGAGGGTCTCTCACTTAACTGGGAGCTGCAGTTTCAGCTAGACTGGCTTGGCCATCAAGCCCCAGGGACCAACCTGGCTCTTCCCTCCAACATTGGGGTTATAGACAGGTGCCATCATGTCCTGCTTTTTACATGGGTGCTCAGGGTCTACACTCAGGTCCTCAGGCTTGTGCTACAAACATTTTACCCACTGAACCATCCCTCCAGTCATAGTAATCCTTTTATTTTAAAGAAATATAAAAATCTTTAAAAATAAAAAAATGCAAATGTAAATATAAATGTGTGTCATGAAATTTAGGAGACTGAACTAGTAATGATAGATATATTTAGTGGTATAATTGTGGAGGCTATGCATTACATATATTTATATAATTGTGATAATTTCAATATTTATGATCATTTTACAATAAAAATGAATTTTTAATAGATGTATTGTTGCTTTTATTCACAAAAATTCTGTATGACAGACAATACTCAGTTCTCTGGTTTTCTGTCTTTATAGCTTTTTCCTTATTTCTTAACAAGTATATGAATAATCTAGAAATGTGGAGAATTTTTAAAAATATTTTTATGCGTATGAGTGTATTGCCTGCTTGTGTATAAGTGCATCCATGTCGTGCAGTGCCCACAGAGGTCAGAAAAAGTTGTCAGATCTTCTAGAACTGGAGTTACAGATGGTTGTTTGCCACCATGTGGGTCTTGTGACATGAACCCAGGTCCTCTAGAAGAACAACAAGTGTTCTTAACCACTGAGCCATTTCTCTAGCCCCCAAAACATGGAGAATTTTTTTAGATCAGTGTCTTAGGTATGTGAGATATCTTCTTAATGGATAAAAATTAGGTATCTTGATATATTAAAGCCAGTTACACAGAGAAAATACTAAATTCCAGAGGTTAGCTATCAACTTAATGTGTAGTTGGACTTTTCAACCTTTTTGTTAAGTATTCTTAATATGGATTGATTTTATGTTTTACTAAGATCTTATGTTAACTTTGATCTAAAATAGTGTAAAAGTTGAAGAATTAATACTAAGTAAGCCCCCTTTTGTCCCTTTCTAACTAGCTTCTGCAGTTTTCTGTGTGATTTTATATGCATAACTGGGATGCTTTTCTGTTTATTTGAATAAAACTAGAATTACACATCTTACAATTTCCTTTTTTAAAATCTCAAAATAATGTTAGGACTGAGTATGCTCAGTGAGAGAGAAGTTGCCTAGCATTTTCGAGGCCCTGGGTTTGATCAGAGCACCACAGCAAAAAAAATTTCCTATATTGTAGGCATTACAAACTTTCCATATAGCTCTACTTCCCTCATTCTTCTCATT